TAATATGAATATTGAGTACTCCTGCCCTGAGAGAAGCACATAGTACACTAAAAATAACAGTGATATGAAACTATTGAATGCTCCTGCTCTGAGAGCAGCACATAGTACACTAAAAATAACAGTAATATGAATTTTGAGTACTCCTGCTCTGAGAGCAGCGCATAGTACACTAAAAGTAACAGTAATATTATTGAGTACTCCAGCCCTGTGAGCAGCTCTAATGCTAACGCTAACTGAGTGATGAAATGTCACAGATATTTGAACGAGTTCTGTTGTCGCTCATATCGGTTTCACAGACAGCGCAGTAGCATTGGAAAAGCATGTTTTTCTCCAGTTACCACATAGACGACTTTGGTGCAATCAACTGATGAAGCAGTCAAGTGAAAATGCATGCTGTATTATATTTAGTCCATGATTATTTGTTCTGTGCATCTTTGTTCGCTAATTATCTCATTAAACGTTAGAGATGTTCATTTTTTTCATGAAAATACATGGTAAATTCACTCACCTTGCAATAAATGCCTCCCACGAAGCGTCAGTAACGTAACGTATCTGTCTGAAGTATTCCCTCCACACTTTCAAATTTCCTGACCCCGCCTCTGCTTCAATTTCATTGGTTGAATCTGTAAACCAATCATTTTCCTTTCTGCCCTCAGAACATGTTTGAGTAAGTAAAACTCCCATCTGCAAGCTAACCAATCAGAACACATTTCTTGTTTTGGAAGGAGATGTTTCATTGAAACAGGAAATTAATAGGGCGTTCGAGACAGACTGGGAAGAGAGGTGCTGCAATAATATGTAAAAACAAACAAAAAAAATCAAGCATGAATACCAAAAACCAAATCAAGACTTTGTAAAAAGACCCCATAATTATTTAAGGGTCTAATTTTGAGTAGTTTTTAACTATTTTGGACTCCAATTTCTATGATTTTGCACATTAAGATTTAAAGGGCACCTATTATGTCCCCAGAATGTGTCTGTGAAGTTTCAGCCCAAAATACCCAACAGATCATTTATTATAACAGCTGGAATATGACATTTTTGGGGTGTGTCTAAAAAAGAGCTGTTTTGGAGTGTATCGCTTTAAATGCAAATGAGCTGCACATTCCCGCCGGGTCTCCAGAAGAGGGCGTCACATATACATCTTTCTGCATTGCATATCTGCAGCAATAAACAGCCAGTAGAAGCAACATAACTGAGAGCGAGAGAGAACCGGTGTTTAGCCGTACATATGGGAAGCCAAATGCACTGAAAGTGGGACGAAACAGCACAACGTTACAGAGCTGGCGCCGCGCTGACCTGTCATCGGCGCGGATCAATGGACCAATGGACCGGTAGCGACCACGCTAACCAACGAATCTCGTGCTACGAACGGCGCGAACTAATCTCACAAGCACGGTGATGATAAATTAAAAAATACTTAATGTACGCACACAAATACGGTTAAAATGCTAAGTACTATAACTACATGACATTCACAAAGGAGTCTGGAGTGATACATGTATTTGTGCATTGTAGTTGACACCTAAATGAACATTTTACAGTTGTTTTATGACTGTAAGTCATTCTCCTCAAATGCTATGGACATTAGAAAAGTGTATACCAATATCGCAAGTAACTTTAGAGACGGTCCCTAAATTTGCGAATATAGAACGTCCAACGTCAAGCCACCTTTATGCCAGTGTATTACTGTAGATTTTGAGGCGCATTACCTTGTACCTATTACCTAAAATGGTTAAGGCTAGGGAAAATGGAGGACAGCGTACAACCACTGAGGGCGGAAACTATAGCAATGCAGGGCTGT